CCCCCAAACCTTGAACATGGAAGCTGTCAAATCCCAGACTCTAGTAATCCAATTGTCAGTAAACAATCTTAATTTGGCTCTTAACACCCTCTAGCAACTGAAGAATCTCCATAGTTTGTGAATCTTCATAATCACTTTCTATCACAATCTTAATTTGGCTCTTAACAGACCCTTTGCATGTGAATCTTATTAGTCACTTTCTATCACATCTCAAATTTAGATTCTGACTTGGGAGTTCAACTAAAGAAACAAAGTATAAAAATTTCACTCAGAATATGACAAGGATATGAGAAAAGGCAAAACCAAAGCATTGACAAAGTGTATTTATATATAAATGGAAGCAACGTTTACAATAAGTATTCGTAAACTAGGTTACAATCACAGTATGGTATAAATACATCCCTTTCTTTACAAAAGTAATACATAGAAGGCTTAATTTATACAATGGTCTCCAAAGAGAAAAACACAGCAAACCAACTTGAAGATATCTTTAAATTTTCTTGGATAGGCAACTCTATCAGTTGCTCAGAACTTTGCCTCCAAGACTTTTCTCCAAGTCCTAGCACTTACTGATCTGAAATGATATGAAAATAGTGAGATACATATCTCAATTAGTAACAAAGTATAATTTTAACAACAAAATATCAATAAACGTGATAATATATCACATATAACACATTTTTTCTAAAGATTCATACTTTGAAAATATTTCTCTATGGGGATGTGAATATTACCAAATACTTAGAAATGAATGATAGCCAATTTAGTGTAAGAGAAAAACAAACAAACCTCAATGCAAATCATCCTATAGTAGGTTACTTACACTAAATTAGAGCAACTAAAGTAACTTCAGTCTTGTTAACATCAAATTAGCAGCAGAACAGTAAAAATATAGAGAAAACTCTCCGAAATCTCTAGTTCTTTCTCCAGCCCCTTCCAGATACGTATATTACCAAATACTTAGAAACGAATGATAGCCAATTTAGTGTAAGAGAAAAACAAACAAACCTCAATGCAAATCATCCTATAGTAGGTTACTTACACTAAATTAGAGAAACTAAAGTGACTTCAGTCTTGTTAACATCAAATTAGCATCAGAACAGTAAAAATATAGAGAAAACTCTCCGAAATCTCTAGTTCTTTCTCCAGCCCCTTCCAGATACGTATCTTTATCTTTCTTCCCTCATTCAGGAGTTGTTCGGCAGTTCATGAAAAGAGGTAAAATGCTAAGCAGCTCTTGGACACTCAAGAAAGTAATATCTAACTATAAGGTGAGATAAACTTAAATATTGTAAAACAGTCCCCTAACTATTAAATAAGATAAGTAACCTATTAGATGTAGAAACTTTATAAGTATATCAAAACATGTAATAATCATAATAGTAAAAAATAAATACTTAAACAATGCAAATCATATACATAGATAATATTTAGGCACTTGGGATTGCCACACTTTCCCAATAGCTCATAGTTGAAAATTGAAAAAGATTTGAACTTGAGTACTCAGTCCTTCAAAGGTAGGATCCTAATGCCAAGAGGCAACATGAAATCTCTTAAGCTCGCCAGTATTCACCCGAAAAGTTAACAGTAATTGACTCCATTCCCCTCATTGTATTGGCAGGCAAATGAAATAGCGCGGTACACTAGATAACAAGGTAAGACAAAGTTCCCTTTACAAGAGTGAGTCTCCTTTAGAAGATGCCTCCTTTTCTACCCTATTAGTCTTGTTCCAATTGTAGGTGGCTTATCATTATGGTGACCAACTATGTATTCAAAGACATTAAGTCTAATATTTCACAGCAATTGGGATTTCTACAAATAAAGAGGTTTTGGGATATACTATCATGGTGATCAAGAAGGATGTGATTGGGGCATTATCTCTTGTTGAGAGTTTTTGGAGCTGGGAAATTCATGTGGCAAGGGGTGCTTACCACATCCAACAATCTTCCTAAAAGAGGAAGCAGGATCTGTCCCTAATCCTCGACCGACATAAAGGACGGAAAGAAAAGAATCATGTACCTGTAGAATAGATTTCGAAGGTCTTTTGTGAGTGGTGTTACCCAGCTTTATTATCCAACTGTTATGTGCAAGATAGACTTACTTTTTACCACCATATGCCACAATGAAACAAGCTAGGTTGGCTACTAGTTACATTCCTGCTATAGGATCCAAAAATCAGAAATGTGTATTTCCTTCCTCCCCTCTCCCCCCCCCCCTCCACTGAGACACACACACCAACTGCTGAATATATTCTCTTGCTCATTGATGCCTGTCAAATCCCTTTTATTCAGATAGATTCTCAACACCCAGAATCACCTCCAATCTCTGGAAGAGAGCATGATTTTGAGGAATTTATTGTCACCTTGGGGATGTTAACGCAACCTCATGAATTCTTTTTACTAGTGAGGCTATGTGTGGGAAGAAACCTCATTGTTGATATTTTGGGAAAAAGGAGCAAGGTATTGGCAATTGGAGCTACCTTTATAAAAGGGTGGCCAAATGTCAAAACCATCTTTTGTTGTGATGTCCTTTCACTTTTCAATTTTGGCTCATAACATTTGATCTCCTGGGTTTGACTTGGATAATGAGTAGCACAGTTGCTGATAAGGTTTGGGCTTGGTAGGGTTCTGGGTAGATAAGAAGAAGAAAAAGGGTATTTCTCTTATCCCTCTAGCTACCTTGTGGGCTATTTGGAAAGAGATACAGAGAGCTATTACGGGTGAATATTTTGTCATCCTATTTATTTTGCCGAGGACCTTGGGGAGTTGACTCTGTCTAAGTTGTAATTCTCGTTTTGTTTTTTAATGGCTCCCATTTAGTGGCTTGTCAATAACATTCTCTCCCAAAAAGAAGAGAATTTTATCATGTGCAACTTGCTACTGAGAAACCTCAGCGTTCTCCTCTTTCATAGTGATCCCTCAACTGTAATTGAGGTTATGCATTCCACTCATTTTCTCTTCTTGATGACTAGATTCAACTGTTATTTTAATTAAACCCTGTTTTGCTGATATTGCTGTCCTTTTTGGTTACCAAAAAAAAGACCAACTCAAGGATAAATAACTCATAAATGAGTTTATTTGTGTTCTTTTTTTTTGTGATCAAGGGGGACTGACCTATTCATAAGCTCACACAGGACCATTTATCCTATTAGAGCCATCTGGCTCCAAAAGATGATTTTATAAACTTAGTGCCTGCTTTGTTATGCCGTCTTAGTTGCTCTTTGCTGCTCTATGCAAACGTTGTTACTTGCATCTTCCACTTAAACTTAATGGGCTCCATTAATTGCTTGATAGTGGCAAAAAGAAATATGAGTTATCTCTGCACTTTATAAACTCTTGCACAAAATAGCTGCATAGTTGGGTACTTAAAAGGAGGTGCTGCAGGGCTTCTAAGTGCAAAAGAGTTTGCTACTTCAAGCATTTTCCCTCTTTTTACACGCAGAATCCTCAACACCTCTAAACAATTTTTCATGAGAGTGTATTTTAATATCTGCGCTTGTTTCAGTTTAATACCTTGAAAGGGGCACTAAGGCACTTCAGCTTAATTCCACGGGGTGGGGGTGGCATCTTGGCACATTCTTTAGCTCATATTGCAACTTGGCTAAAGGTATGTTCAAATAAGATATACCTTAACTTATAAATCGTGTCGCATCTTAGAATCTACTTTACATATATTTCTGGCCTCTCTTTAGGTTAGGGAGGTTGACGAGGGAATTGAATATGTTATCAACTGCGTCGAAAGTTACTTGGCTGATGGAAACCTTGTTGAAGCAGCAGCTGCTCTTGAAGATGGTGTAAAAGGTAGCCAAGCAGAAGATGTAGTTGGTGATTGGGTGAGGCAAGCACGGAATCGAGCAATAACAGAGCAAGCCCTAACTTTGCTTCAATCATATGCTACTTGCATAAGTCTTACTTAAGATTCCAACTTCTTTTTATCTGGACTGGGTGTATGTCTTGGTATCAAATTTTGGCCTCTCGTACTAATATTTTGTGTACTCCCAAAATGTGATTAAAAAAAAAAAAAAAAGGGCTCTATATATTATACCCTGAGGAGGAACAAAAATAAAAGTTTTCCTCTGAGGAACTTAAGTTCATCTGAGTTGTACAAGAATTTCCTTGTCCTTTTGTTGATCCTGAAAATAAAAACTTCAGTCCTTGCAGGCGGACTCTTAAAAATATTTCTTTTACTTATGGCACGTCCATGTTACTCACCTAAAGTCACATTGGCTCCTAATAACTACTCTTACTTTATGTTATTTTCTATTTTTAATTTACATCATTCGCTAATTAATTTACATCTATATTTAACTAATATATATGCAAGTTATGGAGTCAATGCATGTATTATAGGATGCTTATCATATATTAACTATATTTTAATTCATATATTAAATTACATAAATATATCTAGTATACTTATAATTTCTTCAAAAAACTTAATAAAGCTGCTCGTGTTGCTTCCCTTGTTTGCCGATCTGTCTTATATGTTGAAAATAATTTTTTTTTTTCAAATTCAAATATATATATTTTGTAACTGAAATAAATGAGTCATATTCACTAAATTCAATTAACTAAATCTTAATTTATTTGGCCTATTAGTTGGTGCATGTAAAGCTTTTTCCATTTGTTTTTATCTAAAATTTTACAATAGAAACAACTGTAAGAAATTTCTGCATGATAGTTTTTTTTTTTTTTTTTTGGTTAAAAAGAGTATTTTAACATTATTCTATGTAAATTTCATCCTTCATATTTGTCGATAAGAATTCACAACATACGCAACAAAAAGTAAGCATGAAAATAAATAGAAATACTTCTCTGGAAGACTGATAAAATTGTAAACATGTAACATAAAATTGAAAAAAAAAATTATTTAAAATAACGAAATTGGTAACCTATCATAGTCTTTTGCTTGTAGATAAAAGGATATTATTATTATTATTAGGCAGTCAAATTTTTTTTCAGAAAGTATATAATTGCAATCAATGATGCACGAGGTCTCTATAAAATGCTTCTGCTATTATTTAAGCTATTCATATTTAAATTCCCAAATAGGTTACTATTTTAGTATTAGATATTTAATTTGATAATAATTCATTTTCTTGATTAACTATGATTGTTATCCTACTTAATGAGAAATTATATTAATTAATCCAGTATTAGATTTCTTCTTTAATAATTGTAAAGGACTAATTATATATATATATATATATTTGTTGTGAGCTTATTAGTATTAGAGTCACTACGCTCATCTGTTATTTTTTAATAAATTATTCTCTTATTTCAGTGTCCTCCCTGTAGATTCTAAGTTTTTTCTTTCAACTTGAATGTTAACCAAGTACCCTGTGTAATTGAACAAAATAAAGCAAAAATAGAAAGTGTTTTGAGTTAAACTTATTAAGAGCTTATAAAATGCATATTTATAAGCTCTCTGAGTGTGTATGAGCTGATATAGTTTTTCTATAAATAATCTGTTCAAGTGTTTGCCAACATGAGCTTGTAACATGTATTTATTTATTCAAGTATTATGTAAAAGTAAAGATTATAATATTGTAACTGTAACGACTCCGGAAATTAAAAAAAAAAATTATATATAAATTTCGAGTGCGGAAGCGAAATAAAAAATTCTTATTAATATCCCTTATACAATAACCGAAACATACTAACAATATAAAAAAATAAGTTAACTAAAAAAAATACTATAAATAAAATACTATAAAGAAAAATATAAAATATTTAGGCATCTATTCGCCGTTTTCCTGCGAAATGGGCTCGAGAACCAAGTCCTTCTGATCTGAAATGGTTAAGTAATGAATGAGCTACACTAGTCTAGTA